TTGGGTAGACATTTTATAGGATTTTATAATAATGATGATGATGATGATGAATTGATGAATCAATTGATTTGTCAGGGAAAAATTATAAATTCATAATTTGTTATTTCTTGACATTGATGGATCACAAATCAAAACAAATCACAATTTTTCTGATTTGTGTCCATCTTTAATGCCAATCTAAGCTACAAAACTCCAGTGAAAGAGAGTCCACCATCTTCAGAGTCTGTCCATTATACTGTTGAACAACTGTTATCATAAGAAAATCCTTATTGGTGTTTAATCAGAATCTTCATTCTTATAATTGGAATCCATTGTTTAAGTCCTTATCTCTGGAGCACCACATATCAAGTTAGCTCTATCTTGTGTCTGACCTCCCTCTAAAAATTCTCTTATAGCTATTACATCACTTCTTGGTCTTTCTTTCTCCAGGCCAAACATAACTTGGTTCTCTTCCTCAAAGGTTTTGATTTGCAGACTACCATCATGGTTGTCTTCCTCTGGGCAGGTTGTACCCTTCTTAAATTCTGGTACCCATAACTGAATACAGTCTCCTAGGTGAAATCTCAGCAAAAAACAGAATAATAGTACTATTACTTCCTTTGAAAATATACTTTGGTTGATGCAGCCTAATATTGTTGAGATGGACAGAGGATGAGATGGTTGGACAGTGTCATTGAAGCTACCAGAATGAATTTGACACAACTCTGGGGGGCAGTGGAAGATATGAGGGCCTGGCGTGCTCTGGTCCATGGGGTCACGAAGAGTCGGACACGACTAAACAACTAAACGACGACAACAAATATTGTTATGCATAGTTAAGTTGCATCTGGTTTAATGGTAACACTAATAAGGTTTTCAAGGGATGTGAGATACTCAAGGAATGGTTGTATCATTGCTACCTACAATGTGTTTCCATGGCTGATCATGGATTTGATCTGGATGCACTTTTTCTGCTGTTGCATCACAGTGTTGACTCGTGTTTACCCTGTTTCCCTGAAAATTAGACCTAACCTGAAAATAAGCCCTAGTATGATTTTTAGGACACTCGTATTATAAGCCCTACCCAAAAAATAAGCCCCATTAAGTGAAACCCCGCCGTATACCATTGTGCAGCAACCAGAAGATGACATGACTGTATTTGAATAAATGTAGATTCTTGTAGATCCCCCTTCATGGATTGCTGCCTTGTGGCGAAGGGGCTTGAGTAATTCAGAGAAGCTATGGGCTATGCTGTGCAGGGACACCGAAGATGGACAGGTCATAGTGAGGAGTTCTGACTAAACATGATCCACCTGGAGCAGGAACTGGCAAGCCACTCCAGTATCTTTGCCAAGAAAACTCCATGGACAGAAACAAAAGGCTAAAAGATATGACGCTGAAAGATGAGCCCCTCAGGTAGGAAGGTGTCCAACATGTTACTGAGGAAAAGCGGAGGACAAGTACAAGTAGCTCCAGAGCTAAAGAAGTGATTGGGCCAAAGCCGAAAGGACACTCAGCTGCGGACGCCCCTGGAAGTACAAGGAAAGTCTGCTTCTGCAAAGAAAAATACTGCATAGGAACCTGGAATGTAAGATCTACGAACCTTGGTAAGCTGGATGTGGTCAAACAGGAGATGATAAGAATAAAGATTGACATCCTGGGCATCAGTGAACTAAAATGGATGGGAATGGGCGAATTCAATTCAGACGATTATCATATCTACTATTGTGCGCAAGAATCCCCTAGAAGAAATGGAGTAGCCCTCATAGTCAACAAAAGAATGGGAAAAGCTGTACTGGGATAAAATCTCAAAAATGATAGAATGATTTCAGTACGAATCCAAGGGAGACCTTTCAACATCACAGTAATCCATGTTTATGCACCAATCACCAATGCTGAAGAGCTGAAATTGACCAATTCTATGAAGAATTACAAGATATTCTTCTCATTCTAGGGGACTGGAATGCTAAAGTAGGGAGTCAAGAGATAAAAGGAACAACAGGGAGGTTTGGCCTTGGAGTTCAAAACGAAGCAGGACAAAGGCTAATAGAGTTTTGTCAGGAGAACAACTGGTCACCACAAACACTCTTTTCCAACAAGACAAGAGGCGACTCTACACATGGACATCACCAGATGGGCAATACCGAAATCAGATTGATTATGTTCTCTGCAGCCAAAGATAGAGAAGCTTTATGCAGTCAGCCAAAACAAGACCTGGAGCTGATTGTGGCTCTGATCATCAGCTTCTTATAGCAAAACTCAAGCTTAAACTGAAGAAAGTAGGAAAAACCACGGGGCTAGTCAGGTGTAATCTAAACCAAATCCCTTATGAATACACAGTGGAAGTGAAGAACAGATTTAAGGAACTAGATTTGGTGGACAGAGTGCCTGAAGAACTCTGGATAGAGGCTCGTAACATTGTACAGGTGGTAGCAACAAGAACCATCCCAAAGAAAAGGAAATGCAAGAAAGCAAAGTGGCTGTCCAATGAGGCCTTACAAATACAGTGGTGCCTCGATTTATGAAATTAATCCATATTTAAATGGTGGCCGCAACTTGAAATTTTTGTAAGTCGAAGCACCATTTCCCATATCTACCAAGCTAGATACCATCCCTCCAAAGTACATCTGACTTTTTCTGCCTTAATGCAGAACCTTACATTTCTAACTGTTAAATTTTTGTTTTGAATCCAATTCTGCAATGTGTTAAGATACTGGTTGTTGTGGTTTTTTTGGGATCTTTGGCCGTGTTCTGAAGATTGTTCTTCTTGAACAAATTCAGAACATGGCCAAAGATCCCAAAAAACCCACAACAACCATTAGATTCTGGCCGTGAAAGCCTTCGTGAATACATGTTAAGATACTCTTGGCTAAAATTCTGTTGCTTAGCATAGTGCATTGCAGAGTATTTGAATCAATGGAACTTACAGGAGAATTGACTCAACTTTTCCCCAGTGATTCAATGGACCTACAGTGGTGCCTCGCATTACGACGAAACCTCATTACGACGACGTTTTTGCGATCGCAAAACGATTATCTAAATGGGCTTGTTTCGCTTTGCGATGATCGGTTCCCTGCTTCAGGAGCTGATTCTTCGCAAAATGACGATTTTTCTACATCTGATTGGTGGTTTCAGAATGGCTGCCGGGTAAATAAAATGGCTCCCTGCTGTTTTCTGGGATGGATTCCTCACAAGACAGCCACCGAAAATGGCCGCCCTATGGAAGATCTTAAACCGATACTTCGCAAAACGAGGATTTTTCTGCATCTGATTGGCGGTTTCAGAATGGCTGCCGGTAAATAAAATGGCTCCCCGCTGTTTTCTGGGATGGATTCCTCGCAAGACAGCCACCGAAAATGGGCGCCCTATGGAGGATCTTCGCTGGATGGTGAGTTTCCAGCCCACTGGAACACATTGAAGGGGTTTCAGTGCGTTTCAATTGGCTTTTTATTTTCGCATTATGATGTTTTCATTCTACAGCGATTTCGCTGGAACGAATTAACATTGTAATGCGAGGCACCACTGTACTCTAGTGCATCTTACTACACTTTCAGCCACTTTCAAAGAAAGGTTAAGAACCTCTGCTCTAGTACATCTTACTACACTTTCAGCCACTTTCAAAGGTATTTGCTATATTCCTTAGTTTGGTCTTTCTGTATATTTGAGGAAAGTCATGAAAAGTCAATATTTTTTTCTCATTGGTCTTTTGGATTTTCTTTCCTTGTGGTTTTTGTTTTTGCTTTGGTACTTCTGCAAACCAGAGTGTCCTTTTAAGCCTATTGAGGGCTTCCTTTTGCATGCAGATGGTGCCATTTCAGTTGCATGAAGACAGGCATTAATAACAAAAATTCCTCCTTCTAGTTCTCATAGAATGACTTAACAAAATGGAGCAACTGAAATAATATGGTGGTAACCAATGCCATAATGTTTCCTTTTTTCCTCTTTTGTTATTCAGTTTTCTAAATTGAATAATTAACTGCATTCTTCTGTGTCTCAGAACAGACTTCTTCAATGATCTGTTTGGTGCTTCAGAAACTTTTTGTTTGTCACATTGCATATTTCTAGGTGAATAGACAATGATCTGGACAGATAGTCCAGCAAAACAATTTAAGGATTAGCAATTGTTGTAAACTTGTTTTCAAGGGTCTTTACAACAGCAAACACATTTTATAGGCTATTTTACCATAAATGTGGTGGCATACCACAGTCATCTTATTTTAGGCTCTGCTTATGCTATTGGATGACATATGAGTTGTCGGTGTGGTTTTAGTTTGTACCAGTTACACAAGCTAGTCTTGTATTCCCAAATGAAAATGCATATTATGTGCTCACTTATCTCTTTCTGGACATCTATGCTATTCCCTGGCATGTATTAGCATTTATTCCTAATCTGTTGCTTTGACAAAGTGTCAAAAGTGCATTTTTCCAAGAGGTCCTGTTTGCATGTTTATGCTGTACTCATAACCCGGGTAAGTTCTCCTAAGTCGTGTACAGTCTGGGGAATATTTAAATGACATTGACCTGCAGTGGCAATGTGCATCAGATATTTTTTCCAGATTCTTAGTTTGTTTTTGTTTTTTGCTGCTACAATAAAGATATTGTCTTTATCATGATAACTAATGAAATCTGCACTAAAGGCCCCTCCTCCTTAGGTTATATTTCTAAAATTTGAGGATTTGAAAATGACTCTTATTTCTAGGTGGTGAAGTATCAGAATAAATTATTTGCAATTTGAAGACTCTATGTGAAACTGTCTCCCACAGGGTGTTGTCTTGAACATCCTGCTGTGTCCCTGATGCAGCGTGAGGTCAGGGAGAAATGTGCTTCTGTTTCAAGCATGCTGCTTAGAAAGGGATTAAAACAAACCTTGTCCTTTACAGCTCAGAGGTGAAGGAAGTTGGTGGATTGTTCTGGTTCTCCCCACTGGGTATTTGGAGCTGCTTCTTGGGTACATACTGTACATAGGCAGTTTGTGTGGGCTCTTCCCTAATGTGCATATTCTTTGCTTCTGCCTCTTTTAGTCTCTCCCTGTCCTTTTACCTGGAGTTGGAGGGCAGAGGTGTGTCAACTTGCCTTTCCCTGTAGCTGCAAGGTGAGGTTCTCATACTCATCGAGATCCCCATTTATTCTATGGTTGATAAACCTCATCCCATTTCAGCATAAGCTTGTTTGTTTGTTTTTAATAAAGAAGAAATCTTTATGGAAATTCATATGGCTTTTGTTCACCTTTTTATCAATACAGTATATGCCTTTTTGGGCACCTTCTTTACAATGACTTTGAGATCAGAAGCATAGCTGCGATGCAGATTTATGCACAATTCCCTAAAATAGACAGCTTATGTACACCTTTCCCTAATGTGCATATTTTGGTGCACATTTTCTGGAGATTTTGCAAAAACCATAAAAATACAGGCTGTGATACATGACTGTCTTTGCTTTCTTTGCTTTGGAGATGTTAGTATATGTAATGGAACTGAATCGTAAATTGTTAACATGCTAGTATTCTCATGTGAGATTCTATAAAATAATTATGCTATGGCTGATTTTATCTTCCTTTTTCTTATGAATGGGACACAGATGCTCAAATTGGCTGACATCTTTAATGCCTCAAGTGATGATGAAGACTTTCTTGGGTTTAGATCCGACGTTCCCATGGAAACAGTGTCACTGGAGGACAGCTGTGAGGGTTTCGAGTCACTGCCGCCAAGAAAACAGGTACTGAAATCTTGTAACAAATTGTGCATCGTTTCTGTCCTGTAAATAAAAATGTGAACCTGAAGGGCCTGAAATCCAATTGATTTCTTCCCCCTTCTAGAAACTGCTTTCCATAAATGCAATGCCCTTTCAGAATGCGTGCATCTTGCCCTTTGCATTTTATAGAGATCATGGAGTATAGTTGTTATTCGTAACTCATAACTCTTCTGAATAAGCAATCCAGTGAAAGTTTAGTATTGTAAAACCTCTTTGATCTTAGTGGAAAACCTTACATATGTTCTTAGCACTTGCCTACCCAAATAACTGAGAGGTGAATCTGATGAAAAATAGTGAATGTTGCAGAAGTAGAACTTAGATTTCCTGGGGAATTCCTAAAGGACTAACTCAGCATGTTACAGTAGTCTAACCTAGTGACCAGAAGCAAGTTTATCATGGTAGATAAAGATGCACTACCGTACTTCATGACATTAGAAAAAGGCACTTCTCCCAGGTACCTGATGAGATTCAGGCAACATCCAGAAATGTTCAGAGGTTTGAATGTGACCCTTCATGGATCAGATTGTCCTGCCTAGATTAAATTAATCCAAGGTCAGTAGGGTTGCCCACTGTCAGCTGTGCAATCTTCAGCATGTCTGCTGAGAATTAAGTTCATTTGCATTCAGTACTTCTTGTGTGCATGTAAAGCACATAAAGAATTATAGTCTCAGCCAAAGTAACTTTTGGTCTATTTGCTTCCATTCAGCCTAATGATGAATATAAGTGGCAATTGGAGTGTACCACCTTACTGTGATTTCAGGGAAAGAAGAAATGTTAACAGTATCATCAGCATACCGTTGACATCCTGACATGAACTTTCTTTGGTTAGTTTGTACTTCTTAACTGTTCGACAGGATTTTGTATCTTCTCAGTACATTGGCACAGTAATGAGTTAAACATAGTTGTTGGGGGTTTTCGGGCTGTGATTCCATATCCCGACTGTGAAAGCCTTCGGGAACACAAACAGTCTGCTTGTATTTTGATTGTAAAGGATCTTCAGGTGTCTCTCAATCTTCTTCATACTGGGAACATTTTTTGTGAGTTCATGCTTGCTGTTGCAGGATGTTCATTTTCAGTCCAAATACCTGACCAAGGAACTGAGAGAGGTTTTCAGAGATGACTCAGATACTGAAATGGAAGCTTTTGAAGGATTTTCTTCAAAGGAAACTCCAGTCAACCGCAAGAGGAACTTGGAGGTGCGGGCCACATTTCCATAGTCTTCCTGTATGTTTGCCTGTCATATACAGACATCTTTTTGCTTGCAGACCAACTTTGGTCTGGCAGAAGTCTTCCACATGGTTCCCTTTCAGCTAGAGATACCAGGGATTGATTCTGGAACCTTCTACCTGCAAAACATGTACTGTTTTACTGACCTGTGCACTTCAAACTGGAATTAGTTCATGAAAGTTCTATTGTGTCCGGGACTGAAAAGATTATTAAAATGTTCATGTTATGTGGGTGGTGTCTGCCTTTACAGCAAAGATCAGATTGTCCCTATGACTGAGGCTGTCTTGAATAGCAGATAAGACATTTATCAATTTCTATTAAAAATCAGATTTTTTTTGTTAAAATGCATTATCTATATCAAAGTTAAATTTAGGTTCCCCTCCTCCATTGTATTTAGGAAGGGGATTCAGATCCAGAGAATGACCCTTTACCTTTGATGGAGGAAGAGGAAGATGATGATGATCAAGAAAAGGCCTTTCCCAAGAGGAGAAGCTTTGGCCTTCGTGTAGCCTTGCAGTTTCCTACTAAGAAATCTGCTGAGAAGACTTCATCCAAGCGCTGCTTAATGGACAATAAAAACTTTTCCTCTTTTACCCAAACAAAAAATGATAAAACTTGGGAAAAAGTTGACCCTGAAGTAGCATCTCCAGGGTCTAGAGAAGATCCTAAAGAGGTACTGGAGGAAAACTCAACTGCCCTGCTTAAAAGAGCCATGAATATCAAAGAAAATAAAGCCATGGTAAGAATTGGAATGCAAGCATCACATACTTAACTGTAAAAGTATATGTTAGCATTCTGGTTTTACATTAAAAAAGAAAGAAACCAAGAAGGGTTGAAATTTGCAGAATGCATCACAATTCCAGGCTAGTTTTTTTCTTTTAATGTTATTTGTCCTTATTTAACAGATATACCTTCCAAATATTTAAGGAACCGTCTTGTGTTCATGTTATTTTGATGAGTGTATATACCTGACAAAACAGGATTCTAGATAGTATGAAATCTGGGAATACCCCATTGTCATATTTGGTAATCACAGTCACTGGTGTTGCGGTGCTTATAAACTGTATATGCATAAACCCCTTTCCCTGGAAAGCACCACATTATTTAATATTGGTTATCCTTTTCTCAGAGCTTGTTTACTGTGGATGTCTGTGTGGCACTATTACATTAAGCTTTACCAATCTGGAAAACTTGCAGAAGTCTGACTAGTTTGAAATTTGTATTGATATCCTATTTTTGATATTATTTTGCCACATACATGACTCATACTAATATGATTTGAAACGCAGAGGTGTAGCATAGGCGTTTATCTCCCACTGTAAAGATAAAGATTGAAAATTTCTGTTTTTAAAAAAATGAAACAAATGATAAAAATGTTATTAGAAAGTACTGATTTTTTTTGTCTTAAGATAATGCCTATTTTATGAGGAAAATGTCATTCATTTCAGCTTGCCCAGCTATTAGCAGAACTGAATTCTATACCTGACCTATTCCCAGTGAAAACTCCCGTCTCAACTCCGGTAAGTAACAGTGAAAAATATCCTACCTCTGTTGAGAATGCCATTTCCTCCCTTATGTTTTGTTATATGCTCTGCATTGTCAGTGATAGGGTGTGCCTTAGGAATGCTTCTTTGGGAAACACTTCTAATAGTGCTGGAAATAAATTTTCATGGGGTTTTGTAAACATTTTTAAACATTTTCAAAGAAGGTGCAGCCTGCAGTTAGCTCCTGCCGAGCAAAATTGGCCTACAGATCTGCAAGTGTTTCTGAGCCCCAGTTATAAAAATTCAACCATAGATGAGTACGATTAATACTGTTTGTTTTTAAAATCTCTCCACTCCCAGAAACACTCTTTCCTTCAGATATGAATATTGCTGTATGTGTTGTGTTTTCTTATTTGGACAAACATTGTCTTCAAAATATTCAGTTGGTGTGTGTGTTAACCCACTTCCTTCCTCCAGCCCCAGATTACAGTGGCTGTGAACCCATTATTTTTAGAAGTTTAAACACAAAGATGCATTTCTGTCTTCATAACAGCTTTGGCCCAAATAAGTTAATTAATATGTAGATGATGTTAATCTCCTCTTACATTACAGTTAAAGGAAACTCATGCAAGCTTTGTCTCTTTTTAGAAACAGAAAAAAACACCAAGGAGAACATTTTCAGAAGGCCAGATCGAGCGTCGTACAAACCCCACCAGAAATGCTCGTCCCCCCGAGAAATTTGCTGTGGAAAATTTTGCAGCTTCCGCCCTTCGGTTTGCAGAACAACTTCACAATTACAGGCAACAGAACCTCCTGAAGAAAAGGCTAAAAGGGGTAGATGGATAATCTAACTTGTTCTGTGTTTAGTTTTGTTTTTGGCAAAGGCTAAATGAATCAAAGTTCTTGACAGGCATGAATGTTGGTGAAGAGTGCTGGGCAAGTAACCTGGTAAATATCAAGGTATTCTCAGTGAATTGCCCCACATGTTGAATACAGTATATGCTTGGATGCTAAAATTGAAAGTAGTATCCAAAGTGAAGGGGGAAGGAATTTGGAGGGCAAATTAGGAGTTTGGGGGGGGCTTTGGCTGTAACATGAATATGGAAGCAGCATTGAAGTCCATGCAGTTTGCATCTTGTGTTGGTCTCTCTTCCTGTCACATCTGCAGTAGTGTTTTCTCTTCTACTCCAACTTAATGTTTGTGTGATCACAACACAGGTATAATTAGTGCATTGTCCGCTGGAGAAAGATTTGAGACATAAAAATTCCAGTAATTGTGAAGCCTTGAGGGGGGGCAGTAAAGCTGAGATAAGTAACGCCTACAGTTTTATCAGCCTACACTTTTTTGACTGCTTTAACCATATAAAATGCATAATCTATAACTTAGTGTGCTAAGCAGTGTTCGGCATGTTTCTAAAGTTTATACAAAAATGTATTTAAATATTTCTAAGCCACGTTTTAGTGTAAAACCTCACAAGGAAACTCACATAAGAGAATCCTGTGTGTTGTTATTTTGTGCCACCTACTCCATGGCTGCAGCCTTACTGTTCATGGTGAGGAAGTCTAGACTCCATAGATGTTTTGACTTACAATGTTTAGTAAAAGTCTCCACACTAGGCATTAAATCCTTCTCTTAAAAAAGTACTTCACACATTGAAAAAAAAATCTACAAAATAATTTTATTTTGCTAAGCAGTGTTTTTCGGCATGTTTCTAAAGTTTATACAAAAATGTATTTAAATATTTCTAAGCCACGTTTTAGTGTAAAACCTCACAATGAAGCTCACATAAGAGAATCCTGTGTGTTTTTATTTTGTGCCACCTACTCCATGGCTGCAGCCTTACTGTTCATGGTGAGGAAGTCTAGATGTTTTGACTTACAATGTTTAGTAAAAGTCTCCACACTAGGCATTAAATCCTTCTCTTAAAAAAGTACTTCACACATTGAAAAAAAAATCTACAAAATAATTTTATTTTTTGGAGTGTATCCCTCACATTTTCATTTTTGCCCTTAGAGGGAAGAAAACAGGAAAAGTCTTTCCCCACGAATCTTTCTGTTTTTGCCTCTAGGTCTTCACGGCTCTAGGGCATATGCAGAGTGTTTGGGCATGTGTTGGGGAAAGAAGAATTATGTGAAGCATTTATGCCAAATGTAGTGAACATCTTTGGTTTTGAGATGGTGAAGTGAGTTTCCTCCCCAGAGCAAGTTGGTGGTGTCCAAAAGGAGAAGATCATCAAAATATGGTTCATTCCGACCAGTTGAAGAGATAACTGATGAAGATTTAGAAAATGTTGCAATTACAGTAAAAGATAAGGTCTACGATAAGGTTCTGGTAGGTATATGTTTTCTTTTGCACGGGTGTGGCTAAACCATGTCAAGCGGATATAATTCTTTGTATCGTACCATTTTGCTGATTTTGTGGTATGAAATCTGATGGAACCATTTGCCAGTCTACACAATACTCCTAGATAAATTTATGGAGAAAATGTCAGACTGTTGCTATAGCGGCAGAAACCACTAAAGATAAATGGTGGTTTCCCTAAAACACTATTTGCCTAGATTTGACTGTAGGAACAGTCAGGATTATTGCAAGTTGATAAAAATGACTGCATATCAATGCTGAATATTCATTTTAATGCCTTGTATTCATGTGGAGAGAAATGCTTTGGTGTGCAGAGGGAATTCCCTCTACCTGACCTCAAAAATACCTCAAATCATCATCAAAGAGTATATACCAAACATACCCATAATAAGTACTAGAAAGGAACAGGTGAAGCCGAAAGCCAAAAAGAAAGACAAAGCCTCAAAAAACCAAAGACCAACTAACTCCATAAGACAACCAAATTGTAAGGTTAACAAAAACAACAAAGGTAAGAAGGGCTTCATACATCTTACCCACAAAGGTAGAAGGATGGACTTTAAACCCTTATTCCAAATGCTAGATGTAATGCAAAATGACCTAAGGAATAAAGATGACCAAATAATTCCACAGCAAGGAAAAGGAAAAGCAAGAGAAATGACTGCAAAGGAAGGAAATCAACGGCACACACTGAAAATGGGGGAAAAAACCAAAAAGCCTCCAGCAGAGAAAGGTGAAGCACCTGTTCAAAAGAAGAAACAAATTACCAAACAGACCTCAAAGATTCTATTGTCAGATATACACTCTCCACTCAATGGAAACTCGGAGATGACTACTGCCAAGGTGGTCAACAATGAAGTGGGAGGAAACAACTGCAGACAAATCCCAGTCCTGATACGAGACAGATATGCAACAGCTAAGAAAAGAAGGGGAATTTATAAGAGACCCACATATATGTATGGAAATACAAATTATTCTGCTAACTACAGAGCAAATCTTAAGGCGGATCTGCAACCTCCTGATTTTAATCAGGTTAGCCACAGAGATCTAAACCATTTTTGGTGGGATTATAGCAGCTACGAGGATAGACCCACCTGGAACTATATGTATTGACCAAATAGCCATTGCAATGAGCCAGAATGCTTAAACACCAGCACCATGAAATCTAGCTGGATGCCCCAGATATCCCAATACCTGATCTCAGTGATCTTAACTGAGATTGCCCATTTTGTGAAATATAAATTCAGTCAGTCTACAGGGAGGTACACATTAGCCGATAAGCCAGCATGAGCAGTAAATAAATACCATGAGCAAGGATCCCTCTAAGGTGTGTCGCTGTGTGCGTGTGTGACTCTTCATCCCTTCGCACAGCTTTCCTCCATGCAGTCCATTAGGTTCCTGTCGCAACGCAACCTTGCCCAGCGGGAATGAAAATTAGAGGGTACATTGACTGTGAGTTTTCATGTTTTTTTGTCAGGCAGGTTGTATCTGAGAGTCAACAAGTTCTCTAAAACAATCCATCTAAATGCAGTATGGGGTTAGAAGTAGAAGTAGAGATCGGCATGAACTGCGGGCCCACTGATGTTGCATGTGTGCTGCAGATTCTTGGCCCCCCCTCCTCCCATGGGTACTCTCAGAGGCAGCACCCTGGGCTTCCCTGCCCTGCCTCCTTCTCTGAGTGGGCACCCGCAGGAGGAGGTGGAGCGCCCACACAATACCGGTGGGCCTCATCCGCCAAACTGGTTTGCTATTAGATCTAAATATTGGGCTATGTTTTATTTGCTTTCCTAAGGGATGGTGTAAGTGCTACAAGATTAAAACAATGTCCAGTATAGAAGGACAACATGATTCCCATTGATTATGGGTTGTCTTCTTGCGATGGGACAGTGGTTCTTAACCTTTGTTACTCGGATGCTTTTGAACTGCAACTCCCAGAAGCCCCAGTCAGGACAGCTGGTGGTGAAGGCTTCTGGGAGTTGCAGTCCAAAACTCCCGAGTAACCCAAGGTTAAGAACCAGTGTCCCAGTTGTCTGTCCAGTTGTCAAGGATCCCGCTTGGAGATAATGTCTGTCCAGTTGTCAAGGATCCCGCTTGTGTTAAAGTTCACCTCATTCAGCTAGGACTCCAAACCCAGTGTGTCTTTTGCAAGATTTGAGAGAACTGTTTCTGGTAGCCCAGTTGCTTCTTCCTAAATCTGGATCTGTGTATATCGAAATCTCTGTATTTGGGAATACCTTTGTAAAAGTTATGGTAGTACAGATGCGGTACATTCACATGAATGGCTTTCTCAGGACAGTTACAGCAAAGTTTGCATCATACCTTTCATATAGACAGCAGTGAAAAGAACGTTTTTCTCACAGCACAAAATGCGTTGCACTTAGAGAATAAAGAGTTACTTCTTAAGTACTGAGAAAATATCCTGTGAATTGGCTGAGTGAGTTTGCCATGTATCTAAAAATGTATTGTTACAAAATGGTATTTAAAAAGTTTTTGAAACTGTCTTACTTCTTGTGGACTTCTGTCTTCCTTTCTGAACATACTCATGGTAGGGAAGCACATGCCACCAATGTCGGCAGAAGACCATTGATACAAAAACAATCTGTCGTAATGAAGGCTGTGGGGGTGTGAGAGGACAGTTCTGTGGGCCATGCCTCCGTAATCGCTATGGAGAAGATGTGAAATCAGCACTTCTAGACCCAGTAGGTACCTAGTTGTGTTCAAAACACATTGTGTCTGTAAATATTTGTTGGCTGCTGTCTTAAGCAATGACAATGTTAACTGTTCAGGGGCTCTGTAAAATAGAGAGGTAGTGAGCAGAAGGAGCACATTAGCCTTGCTCCCTTCCATCCTAGTATATGCAGAGCTAAATCAGAACAGGACAGCATTGTCTAGCAGTGGGGGCTCTCCACATTACCAGAAAACCTGAAAAATTAGGGTTCCCAATCATGTAGAAATATTCTATGCACAGGGATTTCTTTTATCTTCAAATCTGGCTGCCCACCTATACGAGGTGAGGCTGGGGGAGGAAGAGCAAGGCTGGTCTGCTCTGGGTGTTCACAGACTAAGATGAACTCTTTTGTTGGATACCAGGATAGGGCTATTGTCGCTTGTTGTGAGGTTCAGATAATTAACACCTCACTCTTTTCTTTAAGGATTGGTTCTGTCCTCCTTGCCGTGGCATCTGTAACTGTAGCTACTGTCGCAAACGTGATGGTCGTTGTGCCACAGGAATGCTTATCCACTTGGCAAAGTTCTATGGCTATGACAACGTAAAAGAGTATCTTGAAAGGTAGGTGGAGTTTTAGGATTATTTATGAATGGGATGTGTCTGAGGGAATGGCTTTTAGTGACAGGACTGAAAAGGAGGATCCCCCTTCAGTCCCCTTTGCACCCCTAAAACTGGTCCCAAAAGTCAGGGAAACTCTCTGGGGCCTGTGTGTGGGAAGTGGTAAGGGGAAAAAAATGGTAGTGCTAAGGGAAAAAAATGTTCTGGAATGTATCCACTAAGGAAATGTCTGTTTCAGGCCATTCTCTCTTGTACATATGATATAAGATGTGAAAAAGTATAACAGAACACACATTTGCGTGAGGAATATTTCACTGCTGTCTTTTTAGGAGATGACCGTTGAATTTTGTATATCCAGAGAATATGGTGAAAATCCTATACCCTGGAGCAGACAGACAGCTTTGTGTTTGTTTGCAACTGTTTATGATGTTACTGTTACAGAATAATTACAATTGTTGCAGAATCTGGGGGAATGGCATGCATCTCCTGTTCTCGTACTTTTTGTCGTATTTCGAGCACGACTAATGTATTCTTATATGTGATCTAATAAATGGCAAGGCATGAATAATTAGCGTACGGAAAGAGACATGGCATGTGACTCTTGAATTAGAAGTATGGAATAAGAGTAATTTATGTTTCCCAGACTTATACAGCCCATACGAAAAAATCTAAGAGTCTTGAACATTTATATGAATCTCCAACTACTTGTGTTTTGTCTGATATTTCCGTATTATTTAATCCCCCCAAAAAAACACTATGAGATTTGAGAAGTAACATGCTTTTAAGTATTCAGAAGGGTTTTCCCCCCATTGAATCATAAAGGCTAATAATCAAAAGTTGTAATGCATTCTTCAGCATGAATAATGTGAAGGATGGTTCATGTGACTTCAGATTATGTTGGATTGAGACTCCCAGCGTCCCTCAGCACTGACTAATGCTAGCTGGGGATTGTGGCAGTGGTAGTCCAGTAACATCTGGAGAGCCAGATGTGCTCATCCTTGAATTGTACAATGTATTTAGTAGCATTTTGACCATTTGAAATAGCTGATTACAGTTGCTTTCTTTTTACCTCTCAAAAATTGAATGCTGCTTTTTGTTTTCCAGCTTGCAAAAACAACTTGCTGAAGAGGATTGAAAAAAAAGTTTAAAACTGTACAAACCTATAATCTTGGTGACTTTTCAAAAACCTAAATCAGAGCGGGAGGTTTAAATTTTTATCACTTTTATACTTTTATATCAGAAGTTGTTTGTATTTCAAAAAGATCTCAGGAAAACAGCTGTATATGTTATTTGGTTCAATACAGTGGGAATTTCTTCTTTAAAATCTTAATTGAAAATGACTGAGATTAAATCTGCTTCCATTTGTTTCACTGGGTTTTCCATAAGAGAAATGTCTGTGGCTGTGCTGCTTAGGAATAGACTCCAGCTGTCAGTAGTTAATGTTCAATAAATCCTATCAGAGAGTGGAACTTTCTTAATGTGATTGAGTGTAACTCATAGATTTTAAGAAGTGCGAACCTGAAGCAGTATTTTATTGCCAGTGAAAGAGCTTTCATATTCTCAACATCCTACTGTTTGTAGTGTTTTTAAGCCCAGCAAATATCATTTTGCTATCTGAGCTACAATAAACTCATCACAGAATAGCATACATTGGCCTAAAGCAGTTAGTCCTCTCAAAATAGGCCGTTTTGCTATCTGAGCTACAACAAACTCATCACAGAATAACATACTAAAGCAGTTAGTCCTCTCAAAATAGGCCTATTCATTTGATGGGACATATGTAAGTGCTGACTTACCATTAAGCCACTAATTTCATGAGTCTGCTCTAGCTGGGGCTACCACTTTTATTTGGGCCTTACCATTTACTTATGACCTTTGGATTTGGTCAGAACTGTATTAAAATATTCTGAACTGCTGGTGGTTAAGAGGTTGTCCCTCCTTGACCCCACTACTCATAATCTCCTACAGCAGAGCATACAATTCCTTAACGTCTGTATAACATTTCATGGATGTGATTTGGCTTCTGTAATTGAATTAATCACTAATCAGATTCTGGCTGGAATCCTGTTCTATATTTCTACCAAGATAGAGCTAGCACTGAGAACAATTGACAGCAAAGTGCCCCAAGTTAAGAAGTCAAGAGCTGATGTTTCCTAGTGCACATTATGTCATGTAAATTGTATGTGCTACAAAATGCCTGCACCAACTTATTAACTTGCAACAATTTCCCACTGAAGTTATGCCAGTGGGTGTAACTAATAGGATTCTGGCCATTGACATAGGAAAGAGAAATCAAACATGGTGTCTGAGCCCTCCTAGGATTGTGCCCGGAAACCCCAGGAAAATGAAGATTGGCAAATTTTAATTAGAAAGACACAACCCAGTAATCATTTGAGCACTTTAGATTATTTGGCTTTTAGTTCAGCAGGGTTAAATCCACCATCAAAGTTTCTGGCTATGCTTTTCACAATGGAAAACAATACCATTGTGGTTTTTCTCAGTTTTCAACATGTACGTTTGTAGTGCTCTATCTGAACAGAGTGAGCAACTAAGTGCTTCATCAAAAATTAAGCACTACCACAGATTTTCTCTTTGAGAGTTAGGCATTATAAAGAGGGATGGTTGTCATAATCAAAGTACAAATAACTGCGGCAGATTGTGTACTGCTGAAACCTGTCAACAATGGCTCCTTCCATGGCTAATTTTGGATCATTCGGCCATTTTAAGACCCCTTGCCAAAACAAAAGTAAGCTGTCTACCAGTTGTACGTGCCTTAGAGGTGCAATGAGCATTAACATTGGCATGCATCTAAATAGTCAGAAGTTATTAACACTGTCCCAGCTCCTGTCAACCTAGTAGTTCGAAAGCATGCAAATGTGAGTAGATAAATAGGTACCACCTTGGTGGGAAGGTAATGGTGTCCCGTGTCTAGTTGTGCTGGCCATGTGACCATGGAAACTGTCTTCCGACTGGGATGAGTACCGCACCCTAGAGTTGGACACGACTGGACTAAATGTCAAGGGGGACCTTTACCTTTACCTATACGAACACTTATCATCTGTATTGGCAAGTATTTGAAGTAGTCCAAAATCTGGGTGAATGCCAAGGAGACCATTGTGGCACAATAGTCATGCTGGGGTCCATCCATTGCAAAAGTGCATGGAAAGAGCAAACTCATAGGGGGCAATAAGATGACTGCTTTATACACTGGAGTATTTAAATTGTTTATTTTAACATTTTTATACCGATATTAAAATGAGCAAAACCAGCACATTTCTTGACAGATGATTATTTTTTAAAACAGGAAAAATGAGTATTTTTTTAGCCTTAGACTGTAAGAAAAGTTCAAGCAACTAAACTTACACATGTGCTTTGGAACATTGATAGTAGGTGCATATGTACTGTTATTTTATGTATGGAATATTAGAGCTTGTGTAGCTTCAAGTACTGAACAAATGGAAATTTCAAACAAGCATTATCAGGGTGTGTATGTGTGCTTGTGGTGAATTCAAGCCGTATACTGCATGAGATGATTAAGCATTTTACTTTGGCTTATGTAAGAAAGGTTGGCGATATGCTGCTACGACAACTTGATGATTCTTCCTTAAACTGCCAGCAGCAAGGCTACTCCTGCAAGCACCCACTTGGATGGTTTATCTTTGCTTTTTAGGTTGAATGTCCAGACATAAGTGGGCCCTCTAATTTTAGTTTTATAAACAGGGCAGTTATAAATGTGCTTGGTTTCTTGCCTGTCTGCTGGAATTGCTTTTACGAAGATAACGGGCATAGCAGGAGTCAACTCCTTCAGTCGAGCTTCAGCTATGATGCCTGCTTGGATGTCCCATCTTGCTCCTGTAACCAGAACAACACACAGCTTTTGAGTTAGCATCAGTTTTTATGCAAATAAAGGAATACTGTTGATTAAATACTTTGTGACATTCTCACTGTGACTGTAATTCTGTACCTCACTCGGAAATAGTTCCCATTGGTTAAAAACCTAGTGGGGATATATGCCAGTGTAAGTGCAATTGTGTACGTCATGGTAGCAAATTGCTGCTAATTTATGTGTTTGTTCTTGCATTCCTGGTTATGCACAACCACAAATGCAAGTGGCAATTTGTTAATTAGCAGCAGTAAGACAGTTTAAATCCCCAGTAGAATTATAGCCATTGAATTAAGTGGGACATACTTCTGAGTAGATACTTTGTGATTATATTGTACAACAGGCACCATAACAATAAAACACGCATAGAGCTTGAGTTTCAGTTTCCTTTTTATGTTGAGAGTAATGGCCTGTATAAAATTAAACAGGATTCTTAGAAATACTGTCGAGCCAGTATTGATCAAGCTATTGTTTAAGGCTATAGTCATTTGCTCCTTCTACATATGCACATTTCAAAATTGCAACATCAGAAAAACAATTCTCATTATCTTTTGTTTCATTGGACTGCATAATATTTTGGCTAAGGCATAAGGCAACCCAAAGCTGTCGGCGGCACTAGGAAAACTGGCAAAATTTGTAGACCAACTTAAAAACTTGCCCGTTTTCTGATACAGATTGTGTTTCTACAGGTGAACCTCTGAATATGTATTTTACTATTGAGCTAATGCTGCTATTTAAATTTAGTAAACTTACCTTCCATAAAAAGTCCAAAAATATATGCTCCTTCTCTTGGTGGATGGCCATAATCTTCTCTACTTTTTTTGGTAACATCTGTAATCAGACACATCTTATCCAGAGGCCAGTTGTTCTTCCGTGCCATGCTTTGCATAATGGCTTTCAAGAAGAAAGGGTTTGTGAGTGAATTACTGTACTGTAATTGTTACTTTTGTGACCTGAAGTTACATTGTAAATGGAGTAGCGCCAACATTTCTAATAACAATTAAGTATACAGTGGTGCCTCGTATAACGAGTGCCCCGGTTAACGATGAATCCGCATAGCGATGGTAAAAAAGCAATCGCTTTTGCGATCGCATTGTGATGTTGCCTATGGGCAAAAATCGCTTTGCGATGTTTTCCCCATAGGCCCCATTTTCCCCCAGCTGAGTGGCGGGAGCCTCCAAAGGACCGCTCCCGCTGCTCAGCTGGGGGAAAATGCCGGTGGTAGCCTCGGAAGGACCCTTCCGAAGGGTCGTTCCAAGGCCACCGCCGGGATTCCCCTTCGGAGGGGGCATTTTCCCTGAGCTGAGTGGGACCCCCGCCGCTCAGCTGGGGGAAAATGCTGGCAGTAGCCTTGGAAGGACCCTTCCGAAGGGTCCTTCCGAGGCCACTGCAGGCATTCCCCTTCGGAGGGGGCATTTTCCCCGAGCTGAGCGGGAGCCCCGCCGCTCAGCTGGGGGGAAATGCCGGCGGTAGCCTCGGGGCAGCCCTTTGGGAGGAGCCGGGCTGTGGG